CGGCGATCCTTCCGCCTCAGCCTTCCAAGTAGCCAGAATTACAGGCATGCGCTTCCACGCCGGGCTGATTTTTTTTTTTTTAATCGTAGAGATGAGGTCTCACTGCCCAGGCGGGTCTCGAACCCACGGGCTCAGGCAATCCACTCACCTCAGCCTCCCAAAGGCACGGGATTACAGGCTGAGCCACCGAGCCCGGCAGCCTCTCACTTTAAAGCAGAGGGGGTCAGCTACTCACCCGAGGCATACAGCAGACACCAAAGCCCCTTGGCCACACTGGGTTTTGGAGGGAGGCTCTCAGGGTGAGTGGAGGGAACATATCAGAGGCAGGTAGCAGGGGCTTAAAGGAAGCCTCTGAGGAGAGGAGGCAGCAACAGGCCCGGGGGCAACAGGAGGCCAACATGTGTGGAAGGGCATGCCAGGTGCAGACAGGTGTCTAGGCATGCTGACCTTACCTGCAAGCCCACAGAGCCATGGTGGGGCCTGCAATGCTCTCGTGTCCTCTGTCAGTTCCCACCTTCCTGCCCTGACCCAGTGACTCCCATTCCCCACTGTCTCTGATACCCTTGCTGTGTGGTTCTAGGCAAGTCGCTTGCCTTCTCTAGGCCACAGGCTAAGAGGGGTCCTCTGCCTCCAGGAGCATGGCTTGGGCACTCTACCCTCAGACCCAACAGCTAAGGTGTGGCTGAGAGCAAGGGGGGCGCAATGTCTCTGGCAGTGGGGGGCTTACCTGGGTGGCATGGCACTTGAGCTCTGCCCGCTCCGTCTCCCAGGTGGCCTTGGCCTTGGCAAACTGTTGCTGAAGCTCCGTCAGACCACGGCGTTCGTCCCGGAGCAGCCAACACAGTTCCTTCAGCGTCACCTTCATGTCAGCCAGTGTCTTGATATACTCGTTGGGCTGCAGACAGGATGAGGTTGGGTCAGGGGCTTTTGCAGGTGCGAGGAGGGGATCCTGGGCTCAGAGAACTCATCTCAGGGGTCGGCTGGGGGCCTGTCGGGCCTCAGGCAAGGCCTATGACCTCACTAGGTCCCCATGCCCACGAACCGGGGATGACAAGCCCAGCCCCGCCCACCTCCTCGGCTGACATGAGTCCCAAGCCTGACATCAACAAAGCGCTCTGTAGGTATGGTAATACTCATGCATCCTGAGTTTGCGCGGCATGACTTGGCTTTCTGGAAACTCTCCCACTGGGGGTTTTCTCCCTGCTCGGGATCGGCCTCTCTGACCTGCCACAGGCCCAAGGTGCTGTGTGCTCCATGGAGTTGCCCTGACTGAACCTGACTCGGTCCCACATCTCTCTTGGGCTCACTAGTCACGAGACCCAAACAAGCAGCCTACTGATGACATGCATATAAACAGGCACAAACTCCTCCCCCCAAATCCTTGGAGCAGGTGTGTTTAGAACTCAGAACTTTTCAGGATTCAGAATGGTGCCATGGTATTTCCACTGTGTAACATCCCACGTGCAAACACCCTAAGATTTCCCTACAAATATAGGAACAGTAACATGAAACAAGTGAGGGCTCTGTGGCCCAGTGAACATCAGGCCAGGTTTTGCCAACTGTCTGTCCCAGCCCCATCTAGCCCACTGTGTGTGATCCTGAGATCCTGAGCCCACTGCTCTGACCTATGGCTTGGCTTGAGCATTCCTGACCCTAGACCACAAGACCCTTCTTCATGTGATCCCTGCCTGGAGTCCTTGTCCCTATTGTGTACATCCCAAGCCACACCCAATCCCACCATATCTGGCCACGCTGCTACAGACCCAGACTTCTTGGTCCAGAATAGTCTTTTCTTCACTCTCTACTAAGCAAGCTCCTATTCATCCTTCAAAAACCATCAACTATGTCCCTTGCTCTGTGATACTGTCCCCTAATCTCCAGACAGAATTAGTTGCTCTCTCTCCTGCAAATCCACAATCTGGCCTTCTGTCACTGCCCTGGAATTACTTATGTACCACAGTGCACTGAGCATCTGGGGGCCAACGACCAGGCAATAGCGGTCTGCAGCTCTAGTACCCAGGGCTGGGGTTGGAGAAGGCAACAGGATGTGACCACTGAACAGTAAAACGAACGAATGAACAGAACAGGACTGGGAAGGGGCTGAGACCTCACCGTGTTCTGGGTCCAGCTGTCCCCTGCGCAGGCCTTGTTGTCAGCGTGCTGAGCGTTCATCTCCTCTTCCTCCATCAGCAGGTACAGCTCCTTCATGCTGTTCACCTGGTTTTTAAAAACTAGACTTAACGGGGGGTAGGGAGAACCCCCAAATCTTAACTTTGACCTCAGGCACTGTGCAGGCTGAGGAGCACAGCTGGGCAGTCAGGCCCTCCTGGCCACCCACACGTCAATTCTGCCCCAAGGACCAGGAGGCAAGCCTGAGAGTCACCCAGAAATAGCACGTTCACAGGCTGGGCCAAGGGAGGCACTGTGGCTGAAAGGAAAAGGCCGCTCCCCTGAGGACAGATAAGGGCGACTAGAGGTTTGGGTGGATAGTAGGGACACTTCCTGGAAGGGGGTTTGTTGCCTGTGGATTCTGGGCAGGAGCCCGAGGCCAGCCAAGGAGACCAGGGACCTAGTTAAAGCAAAAGGAAGCCACCTTCTGATTGGGTGCTCATTTGTCACTTGTTCCTTCATCATTCATTCATTCACTCAACAGTTATTTCGTGAACACCGTCATGTGCCAAGTCCTGGGTGAGGAGCTGGAGACCAGAGAGCAAGACACACAACAACTTGGCCCCTGCAGCTTACATTCCAGTGGCAGGAAAACAAGTGAATATGGGAAACGTGGCACTCCACGTTGCTAGTGATGTTTCAAACATTCCACTCAAGGTCCTGGAAAGGCCATTAAGGCCTGGAGCCTGGACGAGCTCCCCAGGGGAGTCAGCATAGGTGAAGGAGAGGTGCAGGCCAGGAGCCGAGCCTTGCAGGTGCTGACTTTAAGAGATCGGGTCAGGAGACAAGGTGGAACCAGCGAAGGACACTGAGGTGAGCAATCAGGGAACTGAGGAGCCAATGAAGGGCCCTGTGTCCAGAAGATGCCAAGGCTGCGAAGCACGTGGGGGAACAGGGCCCATCACTGGTCACGAGATCCAAACACACAGCCTACTGATGACCTGCATAGAGCAGGTGCACAACTCCTTCCCCGAAATCTTCGAAGTAGGTATGTTTAGAATTCAGAACTTTTCAGGATTCAGAATAGTGACAGAGTACTTCCACTGTGTAACACCCCCATGTGCAAACACCCTAACTTTCCCCTACAAATATAGGAATATTAACATGAGATGGGATAAGTGAGGGTTCTGTGGGCCAGTAAACATCAGGTAAGGTTTTGCCAGCTATCTGTATTTATTTATTTATTTTGAGTTGGAGTCTCACTCAGTCGCCCAGGCTGGAGTACAGTGGCACACTCATGGACACTGTAGCCTTGACCTACTGAGCTCAGGCGATCCTTCCACCTCAGACTTCCAAGTAGCTGGAACTACAGGAGCATGCTACCACGCCCAGCTATTTTTGATTTATTGTAGAGACAAGGTCTCGCCAAGTTACCCAGGTGGGTCTTGAGCTCCTGGGCTCCTCTTGTCTCGGCCTCCCAAAGTGCTGGGATTACAGGTTTGAGCCATCGTGCCCGTATTTATTTATTTATTTACAGGCTTGAGCCACCATGCCTAGTCTTGAATTTGTTTATTTATTTATCTATTTATTTATTTATTTTTGGGTTGAAGTCTCACCTTGTTGCCCAGGCTGGAGTGCAGTAGAACACTCACTACCACCACAGCCTCAACTACAGACACACACCACCACACATAGCCAGCTAATTTTTTGATTTATTGTAGAGGTGAGGTCTTCTCTAGTTGTCCAGGCTGGTCATGAAATTGTGGGCTTAGGCAATTCTCTTACCTTGGCCTCCCAAAGTGCTGGATTATAGGCGTGAGCCAGTCCTTTGTATTTAAGAGTTGGGGTCTCAGTCGGGCTTGGTGGCTCAGCCTGTAATCCCATGCCTTTGGGAGGCTGAGGTGAGTGAATTGCTTGA